ATTTTATTTTTATTTATTATATATATATCTATATAATATTACATTTGCTTTTTTTTATTTATTTTAAAGTATTTAAATCATTTAATATTATAATTTAATTGTATCCAATTTAACATTTCAGACAATGGTCCCATGTTAAACATTATTGACAACTTTTGTGACATTTTTAACATTATTAATAGCTATTTAAATAATAACCGATTTCGCATTCTTTACACGAACCAGTTTAAATAGAATGAACTTTACAATATTATAAAAAAAGACATACGCCGCTTATTAAAATATAATCAGTTTGGCATGATGTACAAAAATTAGTTAATATACCATCTATTTCTTATATTTCACATTTTAAACATCCACACGGACATTTAATGCATTCTTATATTATTTTTCCATTTTGCTCTTTTTTATTTAAATAATAAGATTCATAACATTATACACATTCACCTATCTTATTACAATAACAATAATAAGTTTAACATTAAACACATTAATTTCCATTCCAATAATAACTAGTTAAATCATTAGTATCTTCTTAATATATCATTTCGTCAATATTAGTGTCAATATATGAATCTTATTTTATTAGGGTATAGTCTTTACATATTTGGTCTATACTTTTAAGTTATTATGATTTTATAAATTTAATAAGTATTAAAATAATAATAAACATATTTAAAATATTCATTGTATTAAAATAAGAAAAAAAAATTGAATTTACTGCAATATTTTATAAAAATTAATAATTGAAATATTTTAAATATTTTTTATATTTTATATTTAAAATTAAGGCAAAAAATATTTATAACAATAACTGAATTTTAAAATCAGAAATATAATAGTAAAATTAAAGTTAAATATAAAAAAAAACTAAAAACAAATCTTCTAAAATATAATTTATTATATTTAATACATTATACGATTATTTATTTTAAAAAAATTCTAATTAATTCAAAAATTATTAAAATATAGATTTATTGCATTTTTCTTACTTTCAATAATATATTTTTATTTATATATTTACAAAGTAAATTAAATAAAAATAAACAAAAAAAATGAATTAATTATCTTTTAATTTAAAGAGATAATTCAAAAATTATCCTATATTAAAGGATCATATAATCAAAGGATTTTCAGTTGAAAAAAATTTTAGAATAGTTTTTACTGAAAACACATAATTATTATAAAATGCAATTGTATATTAAATATAAATAATAAATAACTTTTTAAATTACATAATTTATAATTAAATTATAGTAAAAATCAAAATTATAAAATAAAAAAGAAATAAACTTATTAGGGAATTGTTTTAGCACAAGTTTGATGATATCATCATTATTATAAGTTAAAATTATATAATAAAAAATTATAAAATATTTGTTTACAATATAAAGGGAGAAGAAAGAATAAAAGTAATAGTAAAATTTAATAATTATGAGTTTTATACAGAATCAATGGCTAATGGAGAAGCTAGAGGTTTTGTACACAAATATGAAAAAAATACATAAAAAGAAAATGTATTAATAATATCTAAGGTTAAATAAATAAATAAATATAAAAATATATAAATATATAAATATATAAATATATAAATATATATATATATATATATATATATTTAAATATATTCATTTATAATTTATATTTAATTTTTATCAAATCTATTTTTTTTTAAAGATAAAATATGGTTTTACATAACAATAATTAAGTTCTATATAATTATAATTTAATGAAAATTTATAATGGATTAATTTTTCAGGTAAATCAATTGAAGATTTTTATTTATAATCAGATTAAATATAAAACTTTTGTGATTTATATACTAGTTTTGATATTAATTAAAGGTTTCTTTTTATTTTATAATTAAACTATTTTTTTTTTATTTCTTTTTTAATTTTAAGATCATTTGGGTATATGATTTAAGCTATGCCAGATTGTAAAAAATATTATTTAGAAGAGATTCATAAATAAATATTACAAAATAATTAATATATTTGTGTCAAATATAATGGTTTTTAAAATAAATTAATTATTAAATTTTAAATAAATAAAATTATAAATTAAATATAAAATTGTATTTTTCAAAAAATAAAGGTTTAAATTATAGTAATATTCATGATTTGTTATATAATTAATTGAATATAAAAGATATTCAATATTTAAGATATCCTGTTTAATTTTATTGTAGATGTAGTAAAAGCAATATAATGAGTTTAATTTTGTAATTGGGAAAATAAACATTAAAAGATATGTAAAATAAAAATGATAATATTTTAAATTGTGTTTATTGTAATAACAATTATGAATTAAATGATTAAGATTTTTAATATTTAATAGAAAATTCACCTAAAGATTGAAAAAGAAATTTTTTTGTTTTGTATTTATATTATAAAAATATATATAAATCTAGCTTTTTGTAAATAATTTTTTTTAAATATAATTTATATTAAATAAATTAAATTTAAAATTTTTAAAAAAATTATATATAAACATAAATATAATATAATTTATTTATTTAATTATATTTTTATTAATTCTTATTAATTAAGAATTTTTTTTTTTGATATTTAAAGTATAAAGAATTATTATTATTTTAATTTTTATAGTATAAAATATTAAAAATAAATATTATCTATATAATATAAATATATAACAAAATAATGACATCAAAAATAATAAAAAAATATATATATAGGAAAATATTTAATTCGGAAAAAAAAAAAATTTAATTTAATAATTTTATTAAAAAATAAATATATATATATATATATACATATATATATATATATACATTTATATATATATTTATTTTATATTAATAATATTTTTAATTTTCTTTTTTATATATTTTTAAATATAAAAAAATATTATTTTTATATAAAATAATTATCCTTTATTAATGATATATGGGTACTAATATTTTTTTGTTTATAAACTTATATCTTTATTATTTTATTTTATAATTTAAAGAAATTTTTTTTAAAATTTCACAAACTTTAACAGTGAAAATTTAGATAATTTATTATTAAAAGAAAATTTAACAGTAAATGATATTTTAAATGAATAAAATATTATTATAGATGTTAAAATGAATACTTAAAAATATGCTGATTAGTATTATAAATAATATATATAATAATTTTCAATATATCTTATTTTTCCTATATAAAAATAGTCTTATTAAAAACCCAGAATTAATAAAAAAACTAGTAAAAATTGCAATTACTTACCCCACAATAGAAAATCAAGAATAAATAAATTAGTTTTCGTAAAAATAAATATATAATATTTATTTATGATGTTTAAAATAAAATTTATTTTTAAATTAAAAAAAAAAAAAAAAGACATCCATATACTGCTTGTGAATTACTTAGTTTTTAAATTTAAAAATACTAAGATTTTCTTTTAAATATAAATAGAGATGATATAAAAAATTAAAATTATAATGAAGGTATAATTAACAATTAACAATAATAAGAATTAATGCCAAAAAATTCAATATAATTAATTAATTATAAAAATGAAATAAATGAAGAATAATTAAATACCTTAAATGAAGAATAGAAAAACATTTAAAATAATAGTGATAATTAATAAAATTCCATATAAAATCATGGTTATTAGATTTTAGATATTCTTTTTTCGTTTGTAGATACTGATTAAGAATTAGATAGTACTTGTTGTGGATATTTTAGTAAAATAGTTTAAAGTATAATGTCTAAAGAAATATATGTAAATTTAAAAATTCGAATTTATTTATTTTTATTTAATTAATAATGATATTTGTTTTTTTTTTTTAAAAAAAAAAAAAAAAAAAAAAAATTGCAAAAGTTATGCAAATATTTAGTAAAAAATCAATAAATAATAAAAAATTTAGTCAAACATACATAATCTAAAAGCATATCTTTTATTATATAAAACTTAATTTTAAATGAAGGAACAATTTCAAATCCTGATATTTTTGAAGTAAAAAAGAATTCAATATTATTTATTTATTTTTATTAAATAATTAATTAAGAATTAGAGAAATTTTTTAATTGATTAATTGTTTTTTTAATTATCATAAACAAAAGATATTTAAGTTTTATTAAATATAAGAGATATTTTGATTTAGAGTATACATAAATAAGTTTAAGTTTAGAATTTTTCAATAAAAAAAACATTATATAAGTAGGAAAATATAGAAATTTTATTGAATTCGATTATAAATGTAATAATTAATAAAATGATATAATTATTTATTTTAATTATCTTTATAAATAAGTAAACCTTTTAACTTCAGTATTCGGCTCAAATACTTTCTCATTTTCTTGAATAATATAACTACATAATATATAATATAAAATTAGAAGGGGATTTATATTAAGATTTACTTGAATATGACCGCAAATAAATTTAATAAATCGAATGTTAATTTCCAATTTAACAAATACATAATAATACTTATAATATCGCTAAGTCATTAATAAATTATTAAGATTAATAAGCATATTAGATTTAATTCGATTTTTAATTAAACCCTTTCGGATTTTCAAGGTTATATTTGCTTATAATAATATATAATTTGATGTTAGGAAAATAAGATATAGTTTTTAATTAATTACTTTAAGATAATTTAGATTTTTTTAAGTTTGTTTTAAATTCTATGGTAAAATATGAATGGAATAATATATTATAAATTCAAATCGAAAATATAATTTATTTGTTTCTTGATGTTGCAGAAAATAACGAAAATATAAGAAAAGAAATGTTTGAAAATGCTTAATTATTATAATTTTTGGTTGAAAAAGGATTATAATACAAAAATTAGTATATTTTTTTTATTTTCTTTATATTATTATTTTATTATTTTATATATATAAAAAAAAAAGATATGGCAAGAAATAAATCATAAAAGGTTATATAAATACTATTATTAAATTGGCTAACTTTTTAAATGAAAAAAAATAAAATAATGAATGGATTCAAAATGCTTTAGATCAAGTTAATGAGGATTGGAAAAATTTAAATAATCAAATGCTTAAAATTATAAACGAAAAATAAAAAAAGGATTTGGGAAATTTTGATCCTAAAAAAAATGGGATTTTTAATAAATTAAAAGATAATTAAATAAAAGAAATATATAAAAAATTCGCAAATTTGTATTAAAATGATTAAAAAGATATAAATTTATTAAACTTAATAAAATTTGAAGAAAGCAATAAGTAATTTTTACTTTTTAGTGAAAATATACTAATATATAATATTTTTTTTTAATATAATTTTTTTTTTTTTTAGAAATAAAAAAGTTTAAGTAAATGAAAATAATATTAGATTTATTTTAAGAATCATTTATCTGTATTTATTTTTAGTGCTTTTTTGTCCAGTTATAACTAAGTTTATTTGAAATTAAGATAAACATATATATATATATATAAAATATTTATTTATTTAAAAAATAAAACATTATTAAAAAATGATATAAGTTAATTTGAAAAATTTATTATTTTATTGTATTATATTAAAAAATATTATTGATGTATATTTTTTTTTATTTTTTTCATTTATTTAATTTAAATTTATATTAATAATAAATATATTATGATTTAATTTTTTAAATGAATAAATTTTAATTGTTATCTCTTATAATTCGTTATTTATACTAAATATATATTTTATATATTGTTCATTTTTATTAAATTATTTTATTTTTTAATATTAATTTATATTAAATGTAAAAATAAGAATACTTTAACTTTATTATAAAAATTTTAAATTTGTAAAAGATTTAGTAGAAATTAAAATATTATTATTAATTTAAAATTATAAAGAAAATTTTAAAAATGCATATTATTTTATTCATTTAATAAAAACTAGAGGAAAAAAAAAAAAAAAAAGATATAGAACATAAAAATATATATATAAAAAAAAAATATTTATAAAAAAAACTTTATATACACAAAAATAAATAAAAATATAAAATATAAAGGAAGAAAACATAATACAACTTTCTAAAAAAAAAAAAAAAAAAAAAAAAAAGTAAAAATAAAACTAATTAATAAATATAAAAAATGTAACTAATAAACAATGCATAATAAGAAAATACATTTCTGACCTCCAAAAGCTAACCTCTAGAAATTCAAAATAATTATTAATTGAACTAATAATTTAAATAAAATACTATAAATATATCATATACAACAACTCCTACACTGAAATCACTATCTACTTAAAAACCATAATCTTTCAATAATAACCTTTTAGATAACTTTATTTCTAATTTTAATAATATATAATAATTAACTGATATAAAATCTTAAGTAAAATTAGGTTAAATCAATGAAAAAGAAAATATTTCTCCTTTTAATACATTTTAAAGTTCTATTTTTAATACCTCTACATTTAATAATACTTAAAATGATATTTAAAATTTTTTAAACTTAATAAACACATAATAATTTCTTTTATTTTCTTCACAAAATATGATTATTCCTTAACTCTAATCATCCTAAAACGATCAGTATAATGTTTTTACTTTTTTAATTCCTTAAAAGCCTTTATAAAAAAAAGAACAATAATAGTAAATAAGAAAAAAAAGAAAAATAGAAGGTGAAGAAGAAAAAAAAGAAGAAAAAAATAATCTATAAGATGAATAAGCAAATGAAGCAGATGAACAAGAATAAGCAATTTTAATAAAATAAATAAAGGAAATGACACAAAAAAAAAATTTAAGCAATGAATAGCTAATGCTGAATATGAAAAATGAGGATGAAATTCTGGATTTTATTAGTGAAGAAAACCATAATAATAAGAAATAGTAAAATAAAAAAAATTTGAATAAAAATAAATATGATACAAAGAATTTAGTAAAAAATTTTCTAAACTCTTTTATATCCTTTGTAAATTAAGAAGAAGAAGAAAATGGTATAATTGATTTTTTAGGATTAGAGTAAAGAAATTAATTATAAGATTTTAGATTAAATTTAAAAAATTTTTTCAAAGGGAAAAAGTTTAATAGAGTTCTTTTAAAAGAATTCATTTTCGAAGATATTTTTAGACCTTTATTTTTGTTTTTCTTATAAAATAACGCTTTATAATGGATACAAAGTGGAAGAATGAAAGACAAAAATTCACATTTAAGAGCACTAAAAAATTTCATTTTTGTATGCTAAAATTATGATTCGATAAAATCTTGGAGATTCAGATATAATTTTGTTTAAAATTGAATATATTTAAAAAATAATTTAATAAAAGATAGAAAAGTATATTTTTTATTCATTTATTTAATTTAATTTTAATTTTCACTTAGTTATATTTTTTATTTAATAAATTTATATAAATATATATATATATATATATATATATATATATATATATTTATATATATATATATATATTTCAATAATTTAATATTATAAGATTAATTATTTATTTTTATTTTTATATAAATTATATTTAAAAATAATTTTTTATTTTAAATTTTTTCCCATTACGAAAAAGTATTTAATTTTTCTATATGTTTTTTTGGAATATTTAATTTTTTATTTATTTATATTTATATTTTTATTTATGTTTTTGTTTTTTTTTTTTATTTTAATATTGTTTCTAATAAAGTTTATATTTTTTTAGAATAGATTATTATAATTATTAGAATTAAGTATTAATTTTAAGTTTACTTTTTTAAAATAAAAAATATTATTTAAATTTATTTTATTTTATAATTTTTGATATGTATATAACGTATTTTTATTTTATTTTACAAAAATATATATGCTTTTAATTTTATTTTTTAAATTATATTTAAATTTTTTTTATTTTAAAAATTTTATAAATATTTATATTTAATACTTTAATTTATATAAAATTTATAAATATATAATTTTTTAAATAAAATAAAAATATTTTTTAATTTATTTTTTAATAATATATAATTATAAGATATAATATAGTTAATTAAAATACACAAAAATTATTATTATAATTTTTTTTTTTTTAAATTATTATAAATTATAATTTTTAAAATAAATAAAAATATAAAATTATTATCAATTTATATTCCAATTAATTTTTAAAAATTATATTATATATTTGAATAAATTTTTTTTATATTCATTTTTTTAATTTCATTTTTCAAAGAATATTCCATTTTCCCGTTTTTTAATATGATCCTAAAACTTTATGTGCTAGTCTTTTAATATCTTTATCTAAATCTCTATTAAATTGATTTAATTATTAAATTATTTCGTTTTCTAATCTTTCAGGTGATCCGTCACACATTATATGTAATACTTTTTTAAAATATTAACTAATTTTAAATAATTATTTTTAAATTACCTTTATATCTTATTTTTGGGTCAGGATCATTTGCCATTTAAAATATTCTAACCCAAAATTCATCATTATCATCCTTAACCCTACAAGGGCACATTTCAGAAACTGCTTTCAATCTAATATCGTTATCTTCATAATAAGTATATTTTATAATTTCATCAATATCTTCAGTTTATTTTATTCTATTTAAAATATCTTATTTTTAAGATCTAGAAAGTTATTATTACATATTTTATCTTTATTTATAGAATTTATTTTTTTTATTCTTAGACTAATATAAAATATTACTTATTTTGTATATTTTGCTTAAATTAATAAACTATTTTTTTTTTTAATATAATATTATATTTAGATCATTAATATATATTTAATATTATATGTTAGATATCAGTATTTAAAAGAAAGGTTTATTTACAGCGTCTATTTTTAATGTAATTTAAAAATTTAAATATAATATATATATATATTTGTTAAATTAAATTTTAATTAATTTTGTAGTTATCTTTTTAATAAAATCATTTTTATAAAAACAAAAATTATAAAAATTTTATAGTCGTGTTTTTATAATTATTTATATTAAATAATTTTTTTTTTATAATTATCTAATTTATAAACGTTTAAATTTCTAATTTTTTATATTAATATTTTTATTTTAAATATATGATATAATTTAAAATATAATTATGCTAATAATAACTTAAATTATTTTTACTTGTTAAAATCAAGAAATATATTTAAATTTTTAAAAATAATAATATTAATTTCTTGAATAAAAGACTTTTTTTTCAATATTTACTTATTCAATCAAATAAATATTTAATTAAGCTTAACTATATTAATAATTTAAATATCATTTTTATTTTTAGAAAAATGTAAAATAAAAAATGGAAAAAAGAAAAAAAAGTGTATTAATATAAATAATATGTATTTTTAAGAATTTATATAATAAAAAATATAAATTATATATAATTAATATTATAAATAAGATTAATTGTTAAAATTAATCAATTAATAAATATTTAAGTATATCTATAATATACAATTTAATATATTATGTTATTTAAAATATATACATAAAAATATTCATAAAAAATATACAACTTACATTTTGAATTGTTTTTATTCTTATTATTATACATTTAACATTTTTTTGTTTTCAATTCTTTATTTCATAATATTAAAAAATTTAATTTTTTTATTTTAATTTATGAAATTTTAATAAGAAATTAAAATTTATATAATTAATAATAAAGTTATTATTAAATAAAATTAAAAATATATACAAAAAAAGTAAATATATATTATTTACCTATAATTGTATAATATTTTCTAAAAAAATAAACAATAATTAATATATAATCATATATAATAAATAAACAAAATGGAAGATTTTTTTAAATTTACCCGAAACAAAAATGATTAATATACTCGTTTATCATACATAAGTCTTACATACATGAATCGTAAAAGTCAACATTAACATGAAGAATTTCGAATGTCTTTAGATGAAGATGCTGAATAAAAAAGAAAACAAAAAGAATCATTTGATTTAGTCAATGCATTAATAAATGAATAACAAAAAGCGATTTTTTTAGAAGATAATACACCAAATCCTCGTTTAACATAAAGTAAATATGCCCCTATAATGGAAGCACCTTAACATAAAATAGCAATGAGATAATTTTTATTTATTGTATTATCAGCAATTATAGCAGGGCTTAAAGGTCCTTTATATTTACCAATATAAATATAAAATTAAGAAAACAATACTAATAATTAAAAAATGTATATATTAAGGGCGTTTTGGAGATAATTAATAGCTACATTATTACTTATTCCATTTGTTTATAAAGAATACAAACAAGAGAAATAACATACAATTCGATTATCAAATTAATTATATAATAAAAGCAATTTAATTGATAGGCATATTCTTTAATTAATATTATTATCTGGCTTTTTTTACGCTTTATGGATGGGTTCGTTAGCTTTTTTAGTATTTTAAATGCCAAACCAAAATGCTTATATATGTATAAATATGTATCCTTTATTCATTTTTATCGAAAAACAGTTACATAATAAAAATACAGTTAAAAAAGAACTACAAGGGACATATTTGTTAACTTTGGCAATAATTTTATTAATAATTGTTCACCCGTAAGATTTGACGAATTATCTAATTGGAATTTTCGGATCAGTTTTTGCAGCTATTTATTTCAGATAGTAACAAATTGTTTTTTTAAATTTCCTATTGGTTTAGTAGTTTTATTAGTTTCTTTTATTAGTAGTATTTTTTATGCATTATATAGTTTGCTTTTAGAAGGGGCTAGCTTCAGCTTTGATAGTGTTAATGGGCTCTTTGGAGTTTTTAGCTTAGATTGGATTTTTTTACATATTTTAATTGCTGGAATCACTGATTTAGCGAAATTTAAACTTATGCTTTTTTTGAAAGAAGTTAGGTATATTTATTTAGAAATTTCAGTTGTTTTTTAAGCTTTTTTAGCTGGAGGTGCTGCTTATTTAATGGGATATTAGGAATTTTTGATTGAGGAAAATTTGTTAATGTATATAGGATATGTAGCTTATATTTTGGGGATGATATTACTTTTTTATGGGAAAAAAGATACTTTAGTAGATGAAATTTCTATTAGTAATGAGAGTTTTGAAGATGATAATTTAAGAAGTGAATAGTATTTTAATAAACAAAATTTTAATAATAGTAATGATGATAATGAAAATAATTAAGATAATAATGGAATAAATAAAGGCTTTGTGATGAAAAAATAAACTTTTTTATAAATGAATGATCTTAATTTTATTAATCTTAAATGATGTTATTTTTTTGTTAATAGATAAAAATATTTATTTTATTTTAAATTAATACATTCAATTAAATATTAAAAAAATTTTATGCATTTTTTCTTTTTTTTTATAATAAATTTTTAATTTTTAATTTAAATATTTTATTAAAAATTTGAATTTATTCTGGACATGGATTAATACTTAAATAAAATAATAAATATAAAATAAAAATTCTTTTGATTTAAGGAAATATTAGTTTGTTTTTTATAGATAATATGGAATCAATAATAAAAATTATTTAATTAAAAAAATAAAAAAAATTAATAACTTTTCTGAAGTTAATAAACTTAAATATTGTATTAAAACTATATGAAATGTTACATTAAATCAAAATTATTATTATATTTTGTTATTAAAATACCTAATATTTATTTAAATAAATTAAATTTTAGAAAATAAATAAATAAAAATATTAACCAAATTTAAACCAATTTAATATTTTATAATTTAAAATAAAAAATCAAAAAAGAGAATAAATAAAAAATTATTAAAAAAAAAAAAAAAAAAAAAAAAATGAAATTTTTTTTAAGGTGAAGTCTAGAAAGCTGATTATAATAAATACGCATAATAACAGCACTAAAAAAGTTAATTAATGTTTTTTTGAATTTTATATCTAAAGAAAATATTAAGGAATAACACAATTAAAATAGTTTAAAGATCATAAAAATATTATAAAATTAAAATAAGTTATCCGAAAATTAAATTATATAGATTTATAAATAATGTTCAATTAAATAAATCAAGATTAACATACAGTTATTCAAGTGAAAATAAGATATTGAAAACTTGTAGTCGAAAAATTACTTAAGATTGGTTATTTCTTATAATCGGGATTTATAAAAATATGAATTATGCAGATTTTTGAAAAAATGGAAATATGATAGATATATTAATTTAAATTAAAATATAATATAATTCAATTTAATTTAATCGAGAATAAAAGTTGACAGTTAAATTGAAAGGAGAGCATAAATACATATGTAAAAATTTAAGATATATAAAAAGAAATATATGTTTAAAGAAATTTTAGATTCAAAAATAAAAAGAATTATAAATTAAATGTAAAAAATTTAAAAATTAATTAAATAAATAAGAAAATAAATTAAAAAAAAAAAAAACTAATAGGAAAAATACTAATAAGAAGAATAAGAAGAATATTAAGAATAATAAGAATAATAAGAATAATAAGAATAATAAGAATAATAAGAAAATAATAAGAATAATAAGAATAATAAGAATAATAAAAATAATAAGAATAATAAGAATAGAAATAAGAACTATAGTAATAATAATAATAAAAATAATAATAAAAATAATAATATTAATAATAATATTAATAATAATAATCATAATAATTTTTTAATAATGAAAATAAAAATAAAAATAAAAATATAAATAAAAATAAAATAAAAAAATAAAAATCTAATTATAAATAAAAATAAAATAAAAATAAATTTAAAAATAAATTTAAAAATAAAAATAAATATAAAAATAAATTCAATATATCTATTTATTTTAGTTATATACTTTATTATTTTAAGATACTAAATAATATAAAATTATTTTTATCCGATTTTTATGTAGTTTTAAATTAAAAATTTATTCCATTATCCATACTTAAATTATTCAGCTATAATTTCTTAAATTATTACTAATTCTACACTCCAGTTGGTATTTAACAAAATATATTATCATGATTTAAAATCATTATAACATTTAATTAAATATAAAAAAATACAATTGATTTTCATAAGGAAAATAATTAATTAATATGTTAAAATATTATTTAATGTCAATGAAAATTAAAAGAAAAATTATTTATAAGTCATAAAATTTGAAATAAAAACGAAGTAAATAAAAAAAAATTATATAATAAGTCTTAAATCATTAAAAATAATATATATATATTTATCTAATTGAATTTTATAAAAAATATTACATAATAATTTGATTAGAATAAATTTATATAAAATTATAGACAATGATATTAAAAAATATCTAAAAAATATATTTATATAAATAACAAAATTAATCAATATTTTAAATAAAATGATATATATTATATAAAGAAAAAAAAGAAGATAAAAATAAATTATTTTTTTATTTTTAAAATAAATAATAATAATAAATATACATATATATATTTATCTTTATAGATATTAATATATTTATATAAATATATATATATATAAATAATATATATTATATACTTTTTATATATATATATATATATATTTCAATTATAATTTTGTTTTATAATGTAAATCAAAAGTCCTTATCCCAATTTGGATCTTTAGCATTTTATTTTTTATATTTTTATTAATTTTCACTTTTTAGGTCTTCCATTATATTTTTACCTAAATTTTCTTACCTTCTAACTTCTCCATCAGAAATAAGCTTATCTTTAGGAGGAACATAAGGAACTTTTAATTACCTATCCATAAGTTTATCCTATATAATATTATTTATATTAAAATAAAAATATATATATACAAAGTCAAAAGTATCAAACCAAGGGTTAGCCTTTAAAGCTGCAAAAGAACCTCCAATTCGAAGTTCAGGTGTTTTGTTAAGAAGTTAGTTAATTAGAGATTTTGAATTCTTATCTTTTAAAAAGCCTGGATATTATATAGATTTTTTCATTATTTCTTCATATATTTCGTAGGGATCTTCAGCATCTTCAGCAAAAGGAACTGCTCCACACATGAATTCAAATAAACATATTCCTATTGACCACAAATCAACACTATATGTATAGCCTTTTCCTGTTATTATTTCAGGAGCCATATAATGAGGTGTTCCAATAATTGTAAAAGTTTTTCCACCTTTTCCTTTTAAGAATTTAGCTGTTCCCATGTCAATTAATTTCATATAACCCTGTATAAAATATATATATATATATATATAATTATATATATATATATATATATATATATAAATATATTAATTTTTTTTATTACTTTATTATCAACCATTATATTTTCAGGTTTTATATCTCTATATATAATTGAATTCGTATGTAAATATTCTATACATAATAATAAAGACCCAATATAAAATTATGATTCTTACACGTTTAATAGACCTATTTTTTAAATAAATAAATATTTCTAACATATAAATATATATTACCTATTTCTCTTATGACATCAAATAATTCCATTCCTTTAACATATTCATTTAGGAAATAAATATTATTATTATCTTTAAATGATCGTATGAATTTCATTATTAAAGGAAATTATGCATTTTCTAATACTTTTTTTTCTTATAATAAATGTTTTTCTAAACTCTGTTCTATAACTTGTGCTTTCTATATACATTTTAATGCATAATATTCGTTGTCTATTTTAGATTTAACTAAAAATACACTTCCGAATTATCCAAATCCTTTATAAAAATAATAATATGTAAGTTATAATATGTTTTATTATTAATTTTTTTTTAATAAAAAAAAAAAACCTAATTTTTTAATAGATATCATTTCTTCTAATTTTAAATGTTAGAATTTATTAATTTCTTTAGAATTTGCTCTTTTCATATATTTTACTTCATGTGAATCTTTATTTTTTTCAAAAATGATTTCAATAGGTCCCCCAATACATTCAAAAATTTATTTAAATGAAATTTCTGCTATTAAAGAATCTGAAGAAAAGACAATAGTTTTTTAATTTCTTTAAAAAACAAAAAAAAACAAAAAAATAATAAAAATAAAAAATAAAAAAATAATTTTTACTTTTCATTTTTATTTTTTGCATATAGCCATTAATCTCCAAATGCGAAACCTTTTTCAACAACTTTTTATTTATTATCTTTCTAAAAAATGTAAAAAATAAAAATATATATATATATATTATATACATACATATAAAAAAAATTACATATTCTAATCCTCCTTCTAAAATAAAAACAAGTTTATTTAGTACAATTCCTTGTTCAAGAAATACCTCATCTTTTTTATAATTCTTTTATTCAGAATTATTTACAATTTTTTCTCTCTATATAAGAGTCATGTTTTTTAATGTATTATTATTCTCAAAAGCCCATCTCATCATATTATTATTAATAATAACTTAAATTTTATCTCCTAATACACTCTATAAAGTATCTTTTCCTAAAGCTATACATCTTGAATCATCTTCAATAGCCTTTACTGTCGCTCCTCTTTTAGCATTTTCAAAAAGGGCTTGCTCTCCAAAAGTTTCTCCTATACCCATTTTTCTTAATTCTTTATCTCCAGTATAAATTGCTACCTATCCTTTTTTTATTATATAATAGGAACTTGCCATATCTCCTTAATTTACTATTACCTCACCTTTTTAAAATACTTAATTTATTAATACATTTGCTATTGCATCTTTTTATTCATTAGTCATTGAATCTATTTTTTATTAAATATTATTATCATTATTATTATTTTTTACTAAAAAATTTGATTTTTTCTATAAATGTTCTATTTTCTTAATATTCTCTATGTACTATATCAGCTATTGCTTTTTTAAATGTATTTCTATCTATTGCCCAAAATCCACATATACCAATAGCTTTTACCGATGCTGATCTTGGAGAACCATATAAAAGAGCTAATTCTCCAAAACAATTTCCATGATGAATTGTTTTTTTGACTTCGTCATTTATAATAATTTAACATTCTCCTTTTTCTAAATTTTTAATTTTATAATTATATTTAATTTATATATTTATATATATTTTGCTTATTATGTACCTATAATAAAATATGAAGATGCTTAATCACCTTATTTAAAAATATATTCTTCTACATTCTCACAATAGAACATTTTTTTAATAATTTCTTCCCTTTATATAAAATTTGTTTATATTTTCTTAAATAAATTTTATAAAATAAGTCTTACTTATCTTAATCTGATAATAAAGCAAAAACAAAATGATTTCCTAAAGCTTTTTTATTTGCATGAATATCTGCTCCAGTCATTTCTCTGTTAACTTTTTTTATTTTTTCAAATATTTATGCTTATTCTTCTATATCATCTCTTACTTTCTTAACTTTATTTTTATTTCTTTTTATTCTATTTCCAAGTCCATCAACATCCTTTTTTAAAAAAAGCAGATAACATTATATATATATATTTTTTTTTAATATATATTTTTTTTTTAATTTTATACAGCATGAGAACTAGAATTATCTTAATTTATTGCAATCGAACCTCCTGAATTATTTTGGAATTTTTAAATTGGATGCGATTATTTTTATTATATTTCTGGTATTTATTATTGCTTTTATTCTTAAGGATTTTGTTACGGTGGTTATTCTAGAGTTTTATCATCATTATTTTTAGTAGAAGCATTATTATTATTATTATTATTATTATTGGTATTGTTCAGTTTAATCTGTTCTTGCTTTTTTTTTTTTTTTTTTTATTTGCTTTTATTATATTATATTATTTTAATTTTTTTTTTTTTTCATTACGTTTATCTTTTGTTGATCGTCTACTTTAATGTTAATATCTTAGGATTTTAATGATTGTTTTTTAGGACTCTCTTCTTAACAATTGTTTTGTGGTTATTTAATATTTTCTTTAGAAACGAAACAATTTCCCATATATTATAATTTTTATTTTATAATAATTATTTAATTATAATTTTTATTTTTTTAATTATATTTTTATTTTACTTATTTTTTTTTTTATTATTTTTTATGTAGTATGTAGTATAAGTTATTTTAATATTTATCTATTTGTATTTTTAAATAAATGAGAGGTTTTTTTTTTTATTCATATGTAATATTTCTTTATTTTTTAATATATTTAATAAAAGCAAATAATATTAATTAATTCAAAAAAAACGAAATTGAAATAAATAAAAAGCGTATAAAATATTTGAAATTATAAATTAT